TCTTAGAATGCTCAATTGATTCGTGCAAGACTTGTGACTTATGTTGAAAGTGAAACGAAATTAATATAAGTATCGGTTTGGTGCATTATATGGTTCAAGGTCGTGGTATCGGCCATTAACTCGGAGCGCTCTGAAACACATCGGTCGTGGCGTCGCAGCGCGGTATCAAATGATACAATTTAGGAGAAAATGTTGAATATGACGAGAAATTTAGGACATATCGTGGTGTCGTGGAACTGTATCGGTCAATTCGACGACGATATTTTGGTGACTCAGGATACAACTCAGACGACTCGGCCGAGTTGTGCGAGACTTGGTGTTTATACGTATCGTGTAACAATATCATATCCGAAGGTGTCGATACAGATACGACTCGGCCGACTTTTATCAATATTGATCGATACTTTGAATCATGGTGCATTACCATCTATATGACAAACATGAAACACAGATAGATACCAACCTCTTTCACCTCTCTGTGTGGTGCAAAAAATGAGGCCCAGAGGAAGCATCATGAGGATGAGTTTAGCTTTGATAAATCACACACCAACAACAATAGTTTGTCATGCATCCTACTAAACTAAATACAAAAACCTCTTCTTTTAAGGTCGTACTGAACCTACTTCTACAACATAAATCTAAATTACCAGTAATTACCTACTATTCACAGATATTGGATGAACCTAAATGTCAATCGTGAGAGTTGAACTTAGGATATTCAACTTTACAATGAAATTTCAAATTTCACTACACAATGGTGGATGACACGTGAGAGTTAATTAACTTATATTTAAATTAACAGAAGTGTGGTATCTAATCAAATTACCTATATTCTGTGATTTCACACATCAAAACTTTCTTGTGGCACGCCACATTTTTAAATTTAAAATTCGAGCTAATTTGGTGAGTTTCTATTGCATTTTCCGACCTATATTACTGCACATGACATGACATTTTAGTGTATTCTATTTTATGTTATTATAAAAAAACTTATATGTCACATGGATGAGTAAACATAGTTTAAGTTCATTTTTGTAACTTTATATATAATAGCACTAGTTATTGTTTGTGCCTAAAGGCACAAAATAATAAAAAATGGTAAACAATAAACATATTTGTAATTTATATCTAAAATCAAATCACAAACATAAGAAAAAAATAAAAAAATTTAAGTATCAATTTGTAGTGGGGGTGAGAGGTGGTGGGCAGCAGTGGTGGTGGTAGTAGACGGTGATGGTTGTGGTGGGTGGTAATGACTGGGGTGGCGGTGGCGGTGGGTGGTAGAGGTAGTGGTGGGGCGATTTCAAATACTATTTTTTTTTAAAGTATTTATGATAAATAATTTTTAAAAGTACTTTTAAAAAATCACTTCAAACACGTCTTTAGAGACCTATTTTTCCTATTAAATTTAGCGTGTTAATATTAATCGTTAGATTAACCTTAAAGTAAAATTTAAAATGATCTTAACCGCGAATAGCAAAAGCCATTTTATTTATCTTTTGAGATTTGGATTGTAAACTATTTTATTATATAGATATCTACGCATGATCCTCTCCCAATATATATCTATTCAAGGCTGTTGTGAGTTGGCAGGTTGTTTTCTTTGGTTTCTTCAAATGGAAGAAATATTTAGATTAAACAGAGAATTAGAATGCCGTGTTAGAACTAAAATTGAAGATATTTGGACCAACGTTTTCAATATGCATCACCAATTGAGGATGATGTGACTCGCGTTATTTTGTATACATCAACATGTCAATAAAATATGTACTGGCAAATGTTACTGATGATCAACCTTTTGGTCTTAACATAAATTTTTTTCCCTAGACTTGGAGTTTTATGACATCTTTTTTGGGGAGTTTTAGCCATCGAGTTTTTTGGGGTTGCAAAGAGTCAATGACCCGAACTATTGGGTGATATAATGAATAATTGTGTCCGAGTCCTCTTCAATTTCCAAGGCTTGCCACTTTTAGTCGACAAGAATAAGGGCAAAGTTTATTTTTACAATAATAACATGTGCACCACTTCATCTACACCCTCTCATGTGGTACGATCTCAACCATCAAATATGCAATGAATTCAATAGAACCCACTAATCTAATAGTTAATATTAAGGTGGTGCACAAAATTGGTATAAAATTGTGGTGTGTGTAGTATTTCTAAGGGAGTTGAATGTTTACTTCTTCACCCTCGTTTCCTACAGAGGAGAGTATTTCATTCATTTTGCAGGGCCACAGATCTAATCTCATTTGCATCAATGGATCAATGTCACAGTATCGTCTATTAACTTGGAGAATAATAAGATATATTTGTTCTTGTATCACAAAATAGTTTTAAGCGATATACGAGAATGTTAGATAGAAGAAACAATTGAACATAACGAGAGTTTAATGGAATATTTCGGTGCTACGAGAGATATGAAGCGATTCAGTATCAATGATTCAAACGATTCTGAGTTGACTCAAAAACGTCTCAGAACAATCAGTTGAGCCGTTAAGTCATATTGTTATATTAGTTAATGCCCATCCCTAAAGGTACTTGCGTAACACAAAATAACAATTGTCATTAGAGTAAATATTATTTAAAAATATTCTTCTATAGAGGGAGAGATGTATATTTATATATATAGATAAACATAGTAAAGAAAAACACTATAACGTCACAAAATAACATTTATATTTTTTTAAACCAACCTCAAAAGAGTCCAATGGAACAACCGGGGACAATAAGAGTCTGTGTTTAGTTAGCAAAAAAAAGATGATGGAAAACGAAAGGGATAGAAAGTAAAGTAAAAGAAAAGAAATTGAAAGAAAATATATTTTCATGCATACATTTGATTAACATGAAAAACTTCAAAGAAAAATTTAAAATAATTTCATTCCAATGTTTGAAAGAAAAGGAAAGTTACAAGAATTTTTTTTTAATTGTCTAAATTATCTTTAATTATTTTAACTCGGTCTAAAGAATAAAAAATATTTTTTATTATTCAATTTTTTTTTAAAAATTGTCTCCTAATTTAATTTATAGATAAGAATCGACTCAAACCTTGATTTTTAGACCAAATTATATGGTTAGTCTAATTTGTACAAATTTTTTTTAAAATTACTAATTAATTGAATAATTTTTAAAAAATAAGGGTACAATGGGAAGTTAGGTTACTAAACACAACTTTTTTGCCTTTTCTTGTGTTTTTTGTAAGAAAAAAAGTTAGTTAAATGTGAGAAAATCTAAGCATGAAAGAAAATTATTATTTTTTATTATTTTCTATTTCATGCTAAACAAATACATGTAAAATTTTAAAATTTTTTATTTCTTGCATTTTTTAGTATTATCTTGCTAAACAAACGAAAGATAACGAAAAATGACTACCAATATAAGAACTTGCGGTAATAAACATGGTTGCCCAAAAAAAGTGACAATAATGAATATGATGGGTCTAGTTTGTTTGTGTGTTCTGTAAGATGGATCTAGTTTGGTTTTGTGTTGTGTGAGAAAGAGGCGTGACTGAGAGAGAAAGGTAGAAAAGAGATGGATAGAGAGAGAAAGGTAAAAAATTTTGGTCCAACATTAAAAACAAAACTTTTGTCCCACTTGACTAAAATCTATCTTATTTTTTCCTTTTTTTTTGGGTCCAAAATTAGAAACAAAATTTTTATTTTTGTTTCGTCTAAATAAAAATTGAATTTACTATGTCACAATAATTTAGTGTTGATTCTTACTTTTTTTTTATTCTTGAACTAAATTTTTTTGTATTAATTTCAGCTAAATATTTTTTTATACCAGTTATATTTTGTCTCTATCATAGATATTCATGGCTCCGCTCTTGATAATATATATTTTTTTATAGAATTTTTTTATGTTAAATGGACTTCATATATCAAATATAATATAATAAATATAAATATATTATATAGTGTCATTGGTTAGAAGAAAAAAATTAGAGTGCATAATTAAAGTGCCCCTCTGACCAAAATTCCTGGCTCCGCCCCTGTGGGGGGTTTGTGAGATGGGTCTATTTTTATAATTTGTATATTTGAATTTCTAATCAAGTATTATGTTTACTATATAATCATAAAAAATTATAGAGAGAGAAACAGAGGTAAAATGGGACTCTGGGGTGCCTGAGACAAGAGATGTAGAAGTGAGATAAGACTCTAATGTCAGAAATGGAACGAAACTTTTAGTCCAATTCTTAGGTGGGAAAAAAAATTTGAAATCATTAAAAATCGTCAAATTAACAATCTTGAAATAATTAAAGACGTTCAAATGATTTTATAAATTTAGGGTTTGAAACTCTTTCTACGTTATCATATAAATTGTAGATGGCGTCGAGTCATATTGTTAGGAGCATTGCATACTATGACAATCAAGACAAACAAAGACCACCCCACTCCATCACCCTGTGTGGTGCAAAAATTGAGGCCCAGAGAAAGCCCAAAACCTTTTTTGGTGAATAATGTTAATCCAAGTTCCAAGGTAATTTAAATAGTATTAGATACAATTTATAAATTTAAATATTTTGAATTTAAATTTTAACAATCTCTTAGAATCAGGACATAAGAGATTTATCCTTCATGAATACTCTAGTCTCGGCGTAGATGAACTACCATTGACCAGACCAAAAAAGTGAATTAGTCAAAATGCACACAAAGTGACCCAAGCACACCTAACTGTTGAATTAAAAAAAGAATAATGTTAGCCTTGTTTTAGTACCGGTTGTAATGTGTTTTGCTTCCTCAAATTTGGTTCCAAAAACAGTTTTTTCTCCAATAAAAGGCAAAATGAAAAAAAAAAGCATTATAAGATAATACAAACAGGATATTAGAAAATCAGAAACCCAAAGGTAGATGGACAACATCTTTTTTATTCATCCAAACACCTCTCAAATGAGACAATGCAACCAATAATGACACTAAGTCACACACCAGCAAAAATTGTTCGTCAAGCATCCTACAAAGCTATTACGAATTGAGATTACTTTGATAAATATGCTAATTAATTCATGAACCAAGCATTCTGTTCACCACTAGTTTAATGGTATCGGTTGGACCAGTAAAGAAATCAAATGATCCTTCGTCCAACTGTCTGGCACACCATGCCCATCTCCATATTGGTAAAAGCACTGCCCCGTCCTACCAAGATTTGGAATGCCACTCAAAAATGGTTCAAAGAAAGGATAAGTTTTGAGCACATCTTTGTTCAGAGACTTCCATGTTTCATGAACTAAGCTGTTTATGTATTCCCGAGCGACTTTTTCAGATACACCAGTTTCATTCATATAACACTGGACTGACTTGGGTGTATCTCCTCTTGCCAACTCATCCTGCATATATATCTCAAGTCTTAATGAATTCCAAACAAGCTTTAAAATTTTTTTAATATAACAGACAAAAATAGAATTTTACCGATGAAGTTCCTAAATCATCGGTGAGGCGAACAATCATAGAGGAATAGCGCATGATACTCGGAAGTTTGTCGATATAATCCAATGCCTCTTGAGTGATTTTGTTTGTGGTTAGTAAGCAACAACAAAGTAATATGAGAGGCACCGAAATGGAAACCACTGCATTCTCCAAATACTCTTCCAACGTCGGCTTGTATCCACCATGATACCACTTTGCTTCCTTCAAGAATGCTTTACAGATATCTGCCCACTGAAGCAGTATAATAGGAATTAAGGTTAATTCGAACAAAATTGTATGAATATGGGCTGATCTTAAAAGTGTATGAGTTCTTAATGATGCATCATTGATTAGTTTTTCGAGTAGCCTTGCAAAAAACATAATAATTAAGATTCTTTAGTCTGGAAAACAATGAGTTCTACCGCTTTGCTTAGGTAAGGGATGATGTTGAAGCCTTGCTCTTTCAATGTCCAGTAGCCAATTTCATTGCTAGTGTTGTACATGGCAAGAAGGCATGTCTTTATATTGCAAGGAAGCTTGTCAATTCCATTTATATCCCATCTGTATGGTTTCACAGGAAAGAAAATTATTAAAGCAATAAAGATAGAAAAGAAAAGGAAGAAAAAAGAAGTAGAAAACTATTGTCCGACAGAATAATCAAGTCATAAATTACTTATGTCGATCCATAAAATACACAAAGATCTCTATACGAACCTGTCAACTAGATCTGTAAAGAGCTCTAGTTCTTCCAATGAACCATAGACATCGTATATATCGTCTATAATAGTTATGAAGCATATTATCTTTGTCGTCATAAAACGAAAGGGTCCATATTGTGGTTCAGATACTGTTCCAATGCTCCAAAAGTAGTGTTCAACAAGTCTATCTCTGGCAAAGCTCATCTTATTTAAGTTGGTGTCCACCCACCAGCTGAGAATTTGACAAGTTGCAATGAAAATTAGTTTGAGTAAGGACTACCGTATACAGTGCTAGAATGATATTTTTGTCTACAGAATTTCTATAATGATTGAGGATCAGGGGTTCCCAAGATTAGGATTTCATACCTTGCTAATTTTCTGGCCTCTTTCTGATAAACAGATTGCACTATGTTGTAGTCCAACTTAGCCAGTCGTAGCAAAATAGGATTCATGTTTTGTTCTTGCTCGTATGTATCAATGAACCATCTAGCCTCCACTCTTTCCAATCTCCAATGCAGGGGCATATCCAAAGCATGGCCTACTTTTCTGGCCAAACTTGGTGGTATGTCTCCTTTGATATCTTTCAGGTGTGTTGTTGTGAAAGTCTTGGCCTCATCCATGATAGTTTCACCTTCGAAACCAAAGAAAGAAGCCTCATACAAGCTCAATAGCCCCTTCACATCCTCACAAAAGCTTGTCTTAAAACCACCCGTCTTGTCCCACAAAAACCTTTCAAATACGTCTGTATCCCACAAAAATTATAAAAGATATTAGCAAAATATAGTTCATTGAGAATTTAGAAGCATAAAGATGTTTGAATTAAAATGAAAAAAGTAATTCATTGATGCAAAGATGTACCTTTTTATAGCAGCTGTGAATACTTCGATTCAAAAAATCAAACCTACCATTCATACCCCTTTCTAAACTAAATTCTATTCCATCCAAGTGCTTATAACTCTAATTCTACAGGGATTGATATAATACCGCATTAAAAAAAATAAAAGACAGATATTTTCTTCATACTATATATATTAGTTAAACGTACGTGTCAAAATCAACTTATTTGTGGTTAAGACTAACTTGACCCGACTATTGTTTATGATAGAATACACCTTGGGAGTAACTTATAAGGTAATGAATTGCGAAACATATATACCTTGAGATACGTTACACCCATGTTGTCTAAGGATCCTAAATTGGAGGGCAATTGCATAAATATCATCCCTTAACCATGCATTGTTGCTATCTTCATAAATACTAGTTACTGCTTTTTTTATCTCTTTCTCGAACTGATATTTCAATCCTAGCCTTTGAACTGCATCAATCAACTCAAGCTTGGCCAAGGGGTCCATCACTCCATTAATGAGGCACTTCATCTCACCTTTTAGTTGATCGATCTGACTTACATATTTCTCTTCCTGCATATCAATTAAATATATAAGTAAACAATTCATCAGAGTAACCTCATAATTGCAATATGTTGATAAACAATAATAAGAATATTTTTTAAAGTACAATATAATCACTAGTAAGCGACTGCACGAAATTATAGTCCCAGACACTTTGTGAATAATTTGCTGATCGTCGAGGGGTCACACTATGATCAACAGACATTATTATGGTATTGGCAACACATTGAATGGATTTGGATGTACAAGGGGTACAAGAATGTTTAGAAGAATGAAGAGACAACATGGTGGTTGTAGAGACTAGAAAAGGTGAAAACAAAGCATGAAGAGCCATTACTTTTATTTAGCTAACCGTCTATAAATTTTAATTGTGGACACTAGGACCACACCCTATACATATATATATATATATACACATTTGCTAAAAAAGAGTCTTGTAATTAAACAAATGATTCTCGTGTTTCATGCATTATATATAGAAAAACACAAATTGGATGCAATGTTACAACATTACCCCTAATTATTTGGGTAGCTTGCACGAAATTCACATCTCATTCTTATCCAGTTATTAAGAATGTTTAAATTTTTGATTGGCCACAATTTTGTATTCTATCTTACTGAACGGCTAACCAAAAAAATAAAGTAGGAATGTGGAATATCCATTAATTTTCGCATTTTTACCCTATCCTACCCGTATTAATATTTATAAAAACTAAAAAAATCATAACTGCTAACCAACCTTATTGTATACTGATTAAGCAAATGCCTCACTCCACTCCTCTCCTCTTACCGTCATCGCTCAAGTCTCTACCTCTATAGCTCTGGCCTTCATCGTTCAGTCTCGACCTAATTGTATTTGTGTAACAATTATGATGTATTGATATTCATGCTTTCTTGTGTTTTATTGTAATTGTTGTTGTAGTTTTTTTAAGTTTTAGTATTATTGATTTATTGTGTTGTTAAATTGATGCATGTTATTTAATTGAATTGTTAAAATGATCCAAAAATCAATAGTTACAAAAATATTTATTCGACTTTCTAACCAACTTCATATCCGATTAATCGGATAGGAATATCACATCTGATCGGGTAGAGTAGGCCAAGAAAAATTTTTTTCACAAGATATCAGGTGGAAAGACTGAAAACTATATTTTCTACCCGTACCAGTTATCCCCTCCCACCATCCACCATTTTCCTCTCGGCTCTGCATTTAACCCATCATTTAACAAGTTGGAGACAGAATCATAAAAAGTTAAGGTGACAAAAAATAATTTTTTTATAAAGTAATTTAAAAAAAAAAAAAAAAAGATGAGTAGTTATTAGATATTAGAGTGGTAGTAAGACCACATGGTGCAATGTGTTTAGAGTGAATATATTAAGATAAATTAAAATTTTATTAATTGAAAAAAAGAAAGAGAAAAGACTTCTCAAACCTCTCTTTGAAAAATATAATTGTTATATATAACAGTATAAATTTTGATCGAGTCCATTGCCAATAACTCCTTCAATACCCACACGGGTACTCCAGTGGCATGAAGTTGAGCCTGAGACAAACCGAACACTCGGAAGTCTTGATTTAGATTTTCACTAATATCTCCCGAATTTAACCAATATCTATTGTTAACGGGTGACTGCAGGTATCCAAAGTTTATTTTATAGAGGCAGACTTATCTTACTGCATTTGGAAGGGTTGCTCGATATTTAAAAAAATAAACAACTCCTTAAATCCGAGACCGCCTTAAGAGTTCTTCTAGTCCACTCTTGTAAACCTTCTCAATCATCAAGCATGCTCGTTACATTTGTGCATATATTCTTTCAGATATTAATTTGCACTTTTTGTTTCCTTTTCCTTTTTCTTTGTGGGAGGTCGGCTATGCATATTACACGATCTTTTTACCCAATCCAGGCGGTTTTGAGAAATTATTTTCTCAAACCTAGTTAATTTTGAAAAACGCCAGTTGGATTGATGTTTTTTTTAGAATTGATGAGATAAAATTGCTAAAAACATGGTAAATGATTTGCTATTAATTCGAATATGTGATATTTATGGGATCAGATAACATCCTCTTTTAGAGGATTCAATTTGAAATCAAACATGTTTTCAAAGAAACCAATAATATAGTGGATATTTTTTGCCTAACAAGTGAGTAATTAACCAACGTTTTTAAATCTATCACAATAATCTAGCCTTTTCGACTCAAGGCAGACTACTCATCATAGAAGATTAACTTTAGTTTTGAAAATTAAGGAAAGATCTCGAGAATTTTATGGGTCGCTTTTGTTTTTGTGTTTCCAAAAAAAATTAAAAACAAAGACAATTTTTATTTTGTTTTGTGGTAAAAATTGAAAACAAAAAACATATTTGAGAGTTATTTGTGTTTACCAAATTATGAAAATAAAATAAAACATGTTTGGTTACTCCAACTTATATTCTAACTAGTTATTTTTAGGCACAAAATAATAAAAAAAATTATCAACAATAAACATATTTGTATTCATACATAAAATCAAATTACAAAGATAAATAAGAGAGAAAAGAATTTAAACATCGGTTGTAGTGAGGGTGAACAATTCTAATAGTGATGGACGACAGTGGTGGTGGTAGGAGACGATGTTGGTTGTGATGGGTAATGACGACCAGTTGTGATAGTGGCAACCGTAAGTGGCAATGGTGATGGTAGTAGTGGGGCAGTGGGGGGGGGGGAGGTTGTAGGGATGATGATGGAACAGTGACGGTGTTGATAAGGTGGCGGCAACAGTGTTGGTGGTGGAGATAGTGGTGGTGGGGCATTGGTGGAGTGGTGGTGGTGAGGCGACGGTGATGGCTGTTGTGGAAGAGGTGGTGATAGAGTGGCAGTAGAGGTGAGGCGGTAGGAGTGGTGGTTGTGATAGAGTGACGACAACGGTGGTGATGCTGGTGGTGGGACGATGGGGTTAGAGGCAATGATGATGGTGGTAGTGGGTGTCGTGATGGGGTGGCAACAGTGGTGGTGATGTGGTGGCGATGGCGATAGTGGTGGTGGTGGTATCGTGATGGGGTGGCAACACTGGTGGTGGTGTGGTGGCGACGACGATAGTGGTGGTGGGGCGGTGGGGAATGGTGGTGGGGTGACGGTGGCGGTGGTGGTAGTGTTGATGGTGGTGGGACGGTGGTTGGACAGATTCACACACTCCTTTTTTTTTTTTTAAGTATTTATGAGAAATTATAATTTTTATAATCACTTTTAAAAAATTACCCCAAGTACACCCTTAAGAGCTTATTTTCCTTATTGAATTTTAAGTGTTAATATTAACCATCAAATTAATTTTAAAGTAAAACTTAAAAAGATCTCAATTGTGAAAAGCAAAAAATATTTTATTTATCTTTTAAAATTTGAATTGTATTGTATTTTACTATATATAAATATTAGCTTTATAATATTTTATACTATAAAATACAAATTAAAATTAAAATTCTTTATCCCAACAACACAACATATTTACACTCACACACAGCATAACTCAAACACACACTAAGACCCATATACTCACAATCACAACACACAAACACAACTTAGACCCACATACACAACACACACAAACACACTCACATCACATACACAACACACACTCACACAACACACACTCGCACACAACACAAACACATACACACACAACACACAGACACATAACACACTCACACACACACATACTCATACACTCACACAGACCCACACACTCACACAGAACATACACACATAGACATACACACAGAACACAATTAATCAAACATATTATCCTCAATTTTTCATATTGGTACAATTTGTTCACTTACACAATTAATCAAACATATTATGCTCAACATTTTAAACAACACACTACACACTACACATATGCATACACACACCCATCGAACAAACACACACACACATATATATGTATATATCTGTACAGAAAAAATCAGATTTATGCATATGTGTGTGTGTGTGTGTGTGTAAGATCGTGAGGAAAATTGAAGACAAAACAACCATGAAGAGACTTAGTTGGATGATCGCCGAGAAGAAACAACCAAAGAAAAGACTGTGAACTAGAATAGTTTGATCAAGAACAAAAAAGAAAAATGGAGGAATGACTTGTATTATTCATCCAATAGAACTTGGCTTTAATAGCCTTTACATGAGACCTAACTGAATTGAGAAAAAACAGCCCACTATTGTATGACTAAAGCTACGTGGTAAATGCAACAATGAAAAAGTTAACAAACAACTAACAACTCTATTAGCTAGAGACTTATTCTACCAACAAAACTCCTACAAATAAGCAACTACTTATCATTCCCTCCCTTAAACTAACTACTTTTAAGCAATTAGTTTATCTGGCACTTCACACACTCCCAACATTTCACGAAGTCTTAGAAAAACATCCAACTTCAATGGTTTAGTCATCACATTAGCTACTTGATCCTCTGTCCCACAATGAACTATCTCAATGGCTCCATCTTTAAGAAGATCTCATAGAAATGGAAACGCACATCTATGTGTTTGCTTTGTCCATGCATAATCGAATTTTTTCAAAGTTTAATAGTCAAACTGTTATCACAAAACACTGTAATACTTCCATCGTGTGAATGCCCCAACTTTTTAAGTATCCTTCTCATCCAAACAACTTGGCAAGCACAAGTTGTTGCTGCCACGAACTCAACTTCTGTAGTTGAGAGAGTAACCAAAGGTTGCTTCCTAGAAGACCAAGCAACAGCTCCTGCATTCATCAAAAACACATAGCATGAGGTGCTTATTCTATCCTCCACATCTCCGGTATAATCACTATCCACAAATGCCAAAAGCTCCTCAGCCCCTCCCTTCTTGTAGAATATTCCAAAGTTCACTGACCCCTTCAAGTATCTTGGTGCTCTGCCTGCATATGCATCTCTGTTGGCTTGGACATATAACGACTTATCAAACTCACAATGAACATTATACCAGGTCTTGTGGCAATGAGGTACATGAGACTCCCCATTATTTGCTTGTAAAATGTCT